TATAAACCTATGCACATTTTGCACATATTTTATTGTTTTTACAGTGACTATGATCAGCACATTTTGCACACACCTATGTATTTATTTATTTTTATTTATTTATTTTGTTGTCTTTTGTTTTATAACTATTCTGATGTCTGTTTTGCTTGTCTTGGGCTGGACTGCTGTAGCACATCAATTTCCCTACGGGATTAATAAAGTATTATCTATCTATCTTATCTATCTATCCGTACTGTATTAAACATGGCTTCCAACATCCAGACCATAGCATAGTTATTTCTGGTCGCATTACGTATTGGCATCCTCTGTCTCTGACAGTGTTATTCACTGTGAGATGAATACTGTTTGTTAAAGTATACTTCTCTGATCCTGTGACTCACCAGGACCTGGGGAAGGAAAACATTTGTAGCAGGTGGCCCCAGTTGACAATGCATTTGTGCCTCTTTCAACTTGTAAGAACGCCACACTATGTTTAGTATGTAGTTCAGGTTGTGCTGCAGAATGTGTCAGGGACATGGCAGCCATTTCCATTCGGAGATTGTTTCCATTCCAAAGTGACAGCAGAGCTGAAATATGTCACCCCTAGCCTTCTGGTGCGTGTAGGAGGAGAGGTATGCTTGCTTGGCTCACAGAGTACTGTCAAGCTGGTGTTGATGGCAGCGACTGCTCTGCAGTTACTGTTAACACGGTTACTAACTTGTAGACTAGCGATGTAGCAGAGTGTGTGACGGAACAGTTGGTAGTTTGTTGTGGCCTTGAAAACATATTAAACACAATTAGTTTGCAGCAGTCCCCCTCCTTTCTGTTGTCATTTGAATGATAATAATAATAATAATAATTGCTTACACTAATATAGCGCTTTTCTGTGACACTCCACTCAACGGGCTTTACAGGTAATGGGGACTCCCCTCCACCACCACCAATGTGCAGGCCCACCTGGATGATGCGACGGCAGCCATAGTGCGCCAGAACGCTCACCACACATCAGCTCTCAGTGGGGAGGAGAGCAGAGTAATGAAGCCAATTCATAGATGGGGATTATTAGGGTAAGGGCCATGATTGGTAAGGGCCAGGACTCCAGGGTTACACCCCTACTCTTTTCGAGAAACACCCTGGGATTTTAAATGACCACAGAGAGTCAGGACCTCGGTTTTACATCTCATCCGAAGGACGGCGCCTGTTTACAGTGTAGTGCCCCCATCGCTATACTGGGGCATTAGGACCCACATAGACCGGAGGGTGAGTGCCCCCTGCTGGCCCCACTAACTTCCCCCACTTCCAGCAGCAACCTTAGCTTTTCCCAGGAGGTCTCTCATCCAGGTACTGACCAGGCTCACACCTGCTTAGCTTCAGTGATGTATATAAATGTAGTAAATGTCCTTTGTTTTTGTAACCATAGCAGGACCGTGCTTTACTGAGTGGACCCAAAGTTTTGGTATTGACTCGCAAATGATCTGTTTGACAAACTCAAGGACAACCCCCACACACCACCATGACCTGACAACAAGTTGTCTTGGATAAATTCTGCCTTTCCATGGAATATGTTTCAGTAGTTAAACAGTACAGTGAAGTAAAAAAAATAGCTAATATTTCTTATTAAACAACTGTACTACAATGTACTAAACTGTACTACATATGTGACTCTAGGGCTTTTTCTAAAATTGTAACTTTTGTCTGTATCTTCCTGCAGCTGGTTAGTGTGCTATGTTGGAATGTGGTAGTGAAGTTAAAATAGATATTCACTTATTTCTAAAACTTTAAGACAAGACAAGGAATTTCGGCCCAGGGAGTTCTTTATAGAAGGGTTAAAGGGGAGCTGCAGTCCCGATTTCTCAGTCAGGTTATTAAATCTTGGTAACAAAATTAATTCATTGACGGTATAGAAAGAAATGACAAATTTTGAATGAAGTACAAAATCCTGAATTTCGTGAAAGTACTGTAAGTCGCCATGTTCTTGCAAACCGCTGGTCTTGCCTTGGGCAAGAGAGACAGTTCGCGCAAATTGTAGCCCTTCCTGCTCACTAGTCACTGGAGTGACTAATGTAATGCGATGTACGAGTGAAGACTAACAGGTTGTGCAGCAGACATTTCACTACAGAAATGTTCCAACGTGATCTGCATGCAGAGTTAACAAGTTCCATTTATCAGCAGAACTATTTCTATTGGATTAAAAGAGAGAGATTCACAAGCCTGCTTCGTTGCAATGTATTACGACTGCAACACTTCACCGTAAGATTTGTTGCCTTGTTCTGAATCCCAGAATATGGCACAGTGCATACCTGGAAATGTTGTCGATTTTGTGATGTAAATTGGAGGTTTTACAAGCTACTGTGTATGTTTTACTTTTACTGTGATTTGAAATGCACTCATCAATGCTGATTCTTTCTAGCCCCAAAATAAACAAATAGCACTGCTGCTCCCCTTTAATACACTGACATGTTTCAGAAATAAATCTCTTTTAAGTTTTTGGAAAACCAAAAACCTAGTTGCATCCCGCCTAACATCACTGGGATTAGTTGGGGGTAAATGTAATGAAGAGGTTTCTGGGCCCTAGTGTCATATATTGCCCTTTTCTGGGAGAAAAGACAGTCTCATCATTAACTGTTTCTTTCTCCTGATTCAGGTCACATCTAAAACCATATAGCATGACAGTAAAAGTCTAAAGTGATGAATGTATCTTGTGATTTACAGTCCCGTATAAATGTAGGCTTTGGAACAAGAATGAATTGGTGATTTTGAAAAATCAATGAAATGAAAAAAGAGAATTACATTTTGGGAAAAGAATATAAAAAAGTATAGCGATTATTATTTTTGCTGTGTTTATTAATTTCTCTGGATACTACAAACATTTAACAGCAGCTGTTAAATTCTCAGTTAAAGGTGTTTTTTTTTTCTAACAAGAAAGCATCCCTTGAGACAAAACACTTGTTAGTACAAAGATAATCCAGAGAAGTGGAATATGCTATCCTTTGGCAGGAACAGCACTAGAAAAACAAAAACAAATAGCTCGATACTGGAGTTTGTTTACATCAGCCATTGGTCATGGCCACCCAAAAAATTACTTTTCAATCAGCAGAACTGATTACTTTATGATTATCATCTTTTTTTTTGCCTCAGTAAATATGATGGACAGGTTTTAAATTTTGTGTTACCCAGACAATCAATAAAAGTAAGAGAAACCGAGTTTTTTTGGAGGATATCCAGCGTCGACCTCCCAGCAGCAAATCAGGTAATAATCTTACTAACAAACTGGGTTCTGTCTCTTTTTGTTTTGTTTGCCTGTAGGACTCTCAGATTGAAAGTGAGAGAAGCGTATACAACATCTCTGGGGGCTGTACTGCACTGGTTGTGGTCTTCCTTTTGGGAAAGCTCTACATTGGGAATGCAGGCGACAGCAGGTGAGAGGTGACTTCGGAACTGGGTCTCCGGCTGACACAAGTCCTGATGCTCATGTCTGGTCCTCGCAGTCTTCTGCGGCCTTTCAAAAACACTGGAAAGCAAGGTGGGAAATCCCAATCCCATTTCAGAACCGTTTCCTTCCGAAAACTACCATTGGTAAGAAAGTGGATTCAAAGCTTTGAGACATTAACTTATGGAGCCATTACCCAGGACTTTCCAAGACTACTTCTACAAACTCCACGCAGGTAGCTTCCCAGGTCTGGAACTGAACCCAGGGCCCCAGTACTACAAGACAGTAAAGATAACCAGTACACCTCCAATTGAAATAATCTCAAGCTACAGTATTTCCTAACACATTTGAGGATATTAGATGGCCATTCAAATTGCACATAACCAGGTGCTGTATATGCACTTGCAGAAAAAAATGTAATTGTCCAAATCATTTTCATTTGATTTCCTTTGGTTTGAGCAAGTAGTTAGAATTACCCTTAACCAAAAATTACATAGCCAGAAATGCATGCCATCTTCAATAGAAATATCATAGTGTATGCAAAAAATTGAATAAGGTATAAAAGCTATGTATTTTGCTTTTGCCAAAAAAAATATAGTTTTAAGAAAAAAAAGTTTTTTTGTTTTTATTCAGACGTCTGTGAACTCCAGTGTAACACAGCCAGTGTGGGGTTTCCTCAGGTCAATTCTTGGAATCGGTCAGACACTTACAAACTTCCATTGACAATACTATTATAGTAACTGCTACTCCCATTTGTGCTAATTTTCCTGTAAGGCAGGAGTTCTCAGTCTTGGTCATGTACGCCCGCACACCTGCTGGTTTTCGTTTAATACCTTCTTAGTTACTGTAGCTAATTGGAGACTTTGGAGCAACTAGTTAGTTCAAGAAATACAATAATAATGAATTCTTTAAACTCCTATAGCACTATTGTAGACACTCCACTTATAGCACTTAGCTTTGTGTGCTTGTTAAGTAATGAAGCCAATTCATACAGTAGATGGGGATTATCAAGAGGCCATGATCTGGGAAAATTTGGCCAGGACTTCGGGAGTTAACACGCCTACTGTTTTCGAGAAACGCCCTGGGATTTTTAGTGACCACAGGGAGTCAGGACCTCGGTTTTACATCTCATCCAAAGGATGGCACATTTTTTTTTTTACAGTACAGTGTTCCCATCACTATACTGGGGCATTAGGACCAACACAGACCACAAAGTTAGTGCCCCCTACTGGCCCCACTAACACCTCTTCCAGCAGCAACTGTAGCTTTCCCAGAAGCTCTCCCCTCCAGATACCATATATTAGTGTAGTTGGGCATTAGAAGAAGGTATGACAGCTTGGAACTGCCTTAATTACAGTGATTTAACCTTACAGCTATCCCCTTTTTCCTGGTGATTTCATCTCATTCCTACCCTTAACGAAACACCAATTTACACCTGTTCCTCTCCAATGTGTAAAACAAGACATAAGTAGGAGCTCTCTGCTCAGGGAGGCCTATTTACTGTCTAAAGACTCTTGACAGCAACCCAGTTGAGGGAATCTCGTTAACAAAACAGGAGCCTGCAAAATTGAAACCTAGGCTGACAGAAATTTCATTTTTGTAATTTGGGTACAAACTCATGGCCTGTCTCCCCCCCAATTTAGGCTCTCGTGTGCTACTGTGTTGTGAAGCAGTGTGCTCACCCAGGGGAATTCATTCATACAATTCATACAAGGGACTGGTTTGCTTTCAAAAGACAAGTGTAATGGAGGGCTCTGGACACAGAGAGCCTTTAGTTTGTGAGGCTGTCTCTACTGTTACTCTTCTGAAAAACAACATGTGGAGTTAAAATACTTACACATTATAACTTACTCCAGGTTAGCTGCTAAACTTGTTTGTTACCAAAGAAGGAACGGAATGGTGAGGCAGTGGTTAACACAACACTGGTGCCCTCGGTTCAATTCCTGGGGTGCTATCTTTGTGGAGTTTGTGTTTATGGAGGTTGTTCTCGGTATACTCTCCCTGTGTTAGCGTGGGGTTCTTCAAGGTGCTCTGGTTTTCTCCCACAGTCCAAAATCATACCGTTTTTTTAATTGGCCTCTGGGAAAATTGGCGTCTGTGTGTGCCCTGCGTGTCCTGCCTTGCGCCCATTGCTTGCTGGGATAGGCTCTGGTTCCCCCATGACCCTGTATTGGATAAATCGGTTTCATCCATCCCGAAAATGTATGATTGGATTATTGAAGATGGTAAAATAATATACAGTATTTGAACTTATGCTTGATTTATGTGCTCCTTCTTACCTCCAGAGTCTGTAACAGTGGTGACAGATATATGCTCCTGAATTTCAACACGCAAAAGCTAATGTCTGCTTTCAGAAAAAGGTTTGTCAGGTTTAGTCACACTGCAATGATGTCTTAGCTCAGAGAAAAAGAGGGAAAACAGCTGGGCATGTGGCTAGCACTAAAAAAAAACAAAACAAAATAATATTACAGCTAAAATTTCACTTTGCCGAGTTGAATCTGTTGATATATGTTTAAAATGTTTTAGCATAGTAATACAATCACTTCTATGTAGGACATGATACCAAATTCCAGCCTGAAAAACATCAGCAATGTACAGTAGGATCCTCTCATTAAGAAAACAATTTCTCCTGGAAAGAAACTTTAAGAATCTTTCTCCGTGGTCTAAAAACAATATCATAAGCAATTCTAAGAAGGACTCCTTAAACTGAAAATGTTTATGAAAGAATATTTTCAAACGACAGCAAAGAGGAATGGGGAACCGTTTTAGTTTATGATACTGAAAGACCAAAATGTTTAGAGTGGGATTCTCAATTATTAATAAAAATCAATTTCATTTGTGTTCGTTCTGCTATGTGGGAGAAGGCCCCCCACTCGCTTTTTAAATCTTATCACAGCATTAACAGAACTGGATTAGGAGTATTGCATCTGGACTAATAACATCCTGTCTGTCTCGAATAATTCCATTATTCTGCCCCTGACCCATTCAGTCACAGAGCAATCCACTCACGTCCGTCTTATTTTGAAAGATGTCTTGAGAGTCTTTACCCTCCCCATCCCCCTCCTCTACCAAAATAAGATTTCAGCTAATGAGATTTCATGACTGATTTTGCCAGTCATATTCTTCATGTTGGGTGTACACCATCGCGTAGAAATCTGCTTTTCCGTGTTTTTGTTTGTTTTTTAGTTCCAACTTGAATTTGTTTCTTTTAACATTTTTTTTTATTTGTGGTTTTAAAAGACACAATCAAACTGCTGTACCCCAAATTGCTCTGCCATATGTCGTGGTGAGTTTTTCTCAGATTCATAAATCTACCACCAGGACAATGAAAGCTGGCAGCCCTGTGTTAATGGCATGCTTTTGGCAATAGAAAACTCCCTGGCGAGAATCCAGCCACAATATAATTTGTATGCAAATTAAAAAGCCCTGTTGTTATAAGTTCAGCAGACCCGATGGCTACATTTATTCTCAAGCTGTATGGCTGTTGTGGAAACGGAGCAAAACTGAAGATTAGGTAAAATAAGGTGCAGGAAACTGATTTGGCCAGAGGTTGCTGAATGTGTCCAAGCTTTCTAAGTCGTGAAAGAGACCATTGTGGAGTGTCCAAAAAGACTGGCAGAACGGAAGACACAAAATTCAAAATGTCAAACCTAGTTAAAATTTCCATGAAGAATTTCCTGGGAAGATATTCCTCTATTGTTCAAACAGCAGCAAATAAAGCTGTTCTTCATTCCGTTATACCTGAAACTAACTGCTTAACCAGTAGTTCACAATCCCTAGTCTTAGTGTTGCAGGACCATTCACTTTTGGGCTACAATTGAACCCTTAATTTAGGATAAGATTAATATGAACATTTTGTTCAGCTTTCAAACATGTTGGAGGTCACCCTGGCATTTTGTTAGCAAAATAAAATCCCAATCATTTGGGAGTAAATTGCAAATATATAGCTAGCCACTGTATCAGCCTGCAGCTCACAACTGGCAGCCCCACTGAAGCTCAGCAGGTGTGAGCCTGGTCAGTACCTGGATGGGAGACCTCCTGGGAAAAACTAAGGTTGCAGTTGGAAGAGGTGTTAGTGGGACCAGTAGGCTCAATCTGTGGTCTGTAGTATGATATTAATGCTCCAGTGTAATGACAGGGATGCTATACGTTAAAAAAGGCGCTGTTCTTTAAATGGGACGTTAAATCAAAATTCTGACTCTCTGCGGTCTTTAAAAATCCCAAGGCGTTTCTTGAAAAGTGTAGGAGTGTTACCCTGGTGTCCTGGCCAATTTTCCCCCTGGCCTTTGCCAGTCATGGCCTCCTAATAATCCCGATCTCTGAACTGGTTTAATCACTTTATGCTCTCCTCCCCACTGATAGCTGATGTGTGGTGAGCGTTCTGGTGCACTATGGCTGCCGTCGCATCATCCAGGTGGATGCTGTACATTGGCGGTGGTTTAGTGGAGTCCCCCCTGTAAAACACTTGAGTGGAGTGTCCAGAAAACTGTAGGAAACAGTAACAAAAGACTTACTAGAGACACTGTAAAATGGCAGCAGTGGTTGTGGGAATGCAGTTGTAATTTGTAATTGTAATTTAATGCAAAATTAGTTATGATAAAGCTACTGTAGGTTTTGACTGCTAATAACTTACATATTTATTCTTTATTCGTAAAGGTTCCATATTTTTAATCTTTTTTTAACCTGTTCAACTGAAACCAAATGTGTTTATTTTATATTTAAAAAAATGAGCAAAAAATATAAGATTTTTACAGTTTCAATGTAACAGTAACTGCAACACTTGTTTCTGTCCCTGTTGCTGTCTTTTTGTGAAGGGCTATTATCATCCGGAATGGGGAAATTATCCCAATGTCTTCAGAATTTACCCCAGAATCTGAACGGCAGAGACTTCAATTTTTGGTAAGAGACCGTGCTTTACGAAGTGTATTATTTTAAAATTTAATTTAATGTGGCATTTATGGTAGAATAATAGTTTTCTTTTGTATGAGGCTTCCCTGTTTTGACTCCTCCTTAATAAGGGAAAGAAAGTTTAATGAACTGACCACACGTCATCAATCTAGATGATGAGTATAAATTTGTTTCAATTGCTTGGTAATTATAAAATAATTCAAATATTGCTATTCTAGACTATGAACAATGATAAACTATAACAAATAATGCAAAGATCTAAAATAAAAATGGCACAGTATGTAGGAAAACAAGAATACTGCTTCTCATTTATAGTACAGTAGTTACATTGTTACAGTTAGGTACTATCCAGTACTGAAGGTTCTCAACACACGAGCCTTTATTATAAAAGGGTTAAAATGTAATAAAAATAAAAATTAAATTCCTTATCCAAGAAGATGTCAGAAAAGTAGAATCTTGGCAATGCTTTACAAAAGCTTAGCTTGCAGTGAAATTGTCATATGAAAAAACAGAACAGTAGGTATAGTATAAATGAAAGTTCATAAAGTCGTTTCTCATACAGGAGGGGCCACTCTACATATGATGGGATTGACCGATAGAATGATTGATAGGAAAAATCATAGTTTTGGCTTCACTGTCCCAGCTGAAAGGACATTGTCATTTCTACTGACAAGATTTACTAAGCATTTCTGTAATATTTCAGTCTTAAATTCCGACTTCTCTGCTGAACATTTCTAAAGAGAATATTTTATAGCTCAGTTCAGTTAAATCCAGTTCATTGGTCATAGGCAGAAGTGCAATGAAATGCTTATTTGCATGCATGCTCCAATACGAAGACATCAAGGAAACGCCAAAGCATAAACACAGAACAGCATCAGCAACAACAACAAAGTCAAATAACATACAATTTAAATACAAGTCAGCAAACCCACCAGTGTGAGCCAGTGGTAGATTCAGTAATCTGGCAGCTTGTGGGAAGAAACTGTCTCAGAATCTGGAAGTTTGTGCCTTTCTGCTCCTATAACGCGTATCTGAGGGCAGGGGAGAGAAAAGTGAGAAACCAGGATGACTGGTGTCCTTAGCAATACTCCCAGCCTTCCTGAGACAACGAATTGTAAAAATGTCCACAATAGAGGGGAGCTGTTCTCCAATGATGGACCGGGCTGACCTGATCACCCTCTGTAATGCCTTCCGGTCAGACAACGAGCTGCTGCCAAACCATTCTGTAATACCACACGTGGGCACACTTTCATTAGCGCACCTGTAGAATGAAGAAAGAATAGTTGAAGACAGACCAAATTTTCTCAACTGTCTGAGGACGTAAAGGCACCATTGTGTCTTCTTTGTAGGTCCATTTACATGCTCGGATCGCGTTAAAAGCAGCCATATCACCCTGCAACTCACAACTGGCAACCCACTGGAGCTCAGCAGGTGTGAGCCTGGTCAGTACCTGGATGGGAGACCTCCTGGGAAAAACTAAGGTTGCTGCTGGAAGAGGTGTTAGAGGGGCCAGCAGGGGGCGCTCACCCTGCAGTCCATGTGGGTCCTAATGCCCCAGTATAGTGACGGGGACACTATACTGTAAACAGGCGCCATCCTTCGGATGAGACGTAAAACCGAGGTCCTGACTCTCTGTGGTCATTAAAAATCCAAGGGTGTTTCTCAAAAAGAGTAGGGGTGTAACCCCGGCGTCCTGGCCAAATTTCCCATTGGCCCTTACCAATCATGGCCTCCTAATAATCCCCATCATTACTCTGCTCTCCTCCCCACTGATAGCTGATGTGTGGTGAGCGTTCTGGCGCACTATGGCTGCTGCCGTATCATCCAGGTGGGGCTGCACATTGGTGGTGGAGGAGGGGAGTCCCCATTACTTGTAAAGCGCTTTGAGTGGAGTGTCCAGAAAAGCGCTGTATAAGTGTAAGCAATTATTATTATTATTAAATCATTAGTAATGATACCCAGGAACTCAGCTCTGATCTTTGTAATAACTTTATTTCCTAAACTGCTTTTACTCTTTTATGTGGGGAACCCAACATTGGGTTGAAACGGTCCAGTTAAGCATTCATTTTCAACAACTTACCTTTCCCTTAAGGTCTAAGGTTTTTGTTGGTGTGTACCAGCCTTTTGTTCTAAAGCGAGGAACATCTGCTCTGTGTCTGTAAACCAAGAAACACTAAAATTCATTGTCTGCCTGCTAAAGTGTTTTACCACAACAGATTTAGCAAAGGAGGAGCTGATCTTGCTGAATGTATCTGGAACAATTCTTGAGGCTGTTTCCAAAAGCTGGGGGTTTAAATTTCTGCTCAGCTAAGGGGTGTAGACATCATTAGCTAACAGGGTTCTTGGCACCAAGGGAAGTGACATGGCCCACTGAGACTTTTTAATGACCTTTTTAAGGATATTGACCAGTTTGGGAGGTGGGGGAGTATCAGTATGGAAAATGAGAAGAAGCTAATCATCTGTGGAGTAACTCCGGGCAGTGTATGTGCTGAAGTCAACAGCAGTGCAATATTATTTCATATGTAATGAAATGTACTGTTTTCACCCTCAACTGCCTGCCTTAGACTGATTGACTGAACTGCCACACTGACTTGATAATATGCAAACCTAGATGTGTGCTTGCTAATATTTTCTGTTGGCTCTATTATCTGATGTAGTTTGTGACATAACCTTAAACTGCAGGAGTTATTAATTCTGCAAGTTAAAAATGACTGAATGTGTGACTTTTGACTACTTTTGATTACAGAATGTGCCTCAAACAAACTAAATCGGTTCTCTTTTTCTCTATTTATCTGAGAATGTGTGTTCAAATGTAATTTATATTGAGTAACGTTGTAGGTATTTGTGACGTTTAAGAAACATGTTAAATCCTGGACAGAATTGAACAATTATTTATTTTTAATCTTTTGTCTCCGTGTGGCTTGATCAAAAGCGATTTATTATCTCAGATGAGCTGAAAGCCTCGGAGACGAGCTGAATAACAACGAAAAAGTTTAGAACGCCGTCCGTAAAAACTCAAATCCAGGAAAGTCATCCTAGAACTGCCTGATATTATCACAGTGCCCTGTTTGGAATTCTGATGCAGGAGTGCTTTTATTAAAGATCACTCCTGCATTTAAAAGTCCTGAAGAGATTAAAGAAATATTGTACAAGATGAGTTGTTTCCTTTGGTGTTCCTTCTCACTATATTATAACTAGATTGTGATTTTTTATGTTGTTTATGTTGAATGTTGTGCTGGTCTAGAGCCCAGGGAGAATTGTCTCCTAGGGAGATGTAAAAAAAGATACATCAGAATACATCCCCAATTCTTTTTTAAGACAGTGTTTTATCTTTTTATCAGCATATTTCCCTGGTTGAAACATGCAAAACAACTGTCTAAATGACCTGAAATAAATGTTTCTTAACTTTAGTAAACCATTAAAAGAAATGTGGAGTGACCAAACTAGTACCAACAATCACTTTACAATACACTGGGAGGCTTAGTCAAAGAAGAAATCTGGAAAATAAATGGATATAAATGGAAAGCTTAGGATAATAGATAATTTGTTTCACTCTGTGTAGTTGGCGGTTCTCAAACCAGTGAGATCTGGGAAAACCTTTATAATGCCATTCCTCTAGTTGAACTTGCTGCTCATATTAGAGAGGGTTGAGCACTCTCTCTAATATGTGTGACAGTGTTTTAACTTTTAGTCGAATGGATGCAAAGCTGTCAACTGCTTCCAATCACTTGGAATGGTGGGGGTTGTTTCTGGGAACACATACCTGTATACATTTAACAAAAATAATGTAAGATACGTCAACCAACACAAAATGGAACCTAACACTGCAGAGCGCCCACCTATAACCAGGCCTGTATAAAGGCTCCGTATGTCAGTGATCTGGTATAGTGGAATTAGGGCATTTAGTTCTAGTAGGGAGCTGCGTCAGCATGCGTAGGCTGCAAAGGAACAAGGTTTATTCCATGCTGAAAAAAGAAGAATAGAAACGCAACGTTTCAGCTATGGAGCCACCTTCGTGTAGAGGAGCCTCTCCTTCTTCTCCTTCTTCGAAACATTGCGTTTCTTTTCTTCTCTTTTCAGCATGGAATAAACCTTTAGTTGTTACTTTGTCCTTTGTCTAGTCAACTGGTGGGACACTTGTTTCCGAAAATTGGAAGCCCACCAAAATGTAGGATCTTTTTCTTGGTCCACTACAATATTTATGCTTTTATTTCCGTTCTGTGTTCCAGGCCTACATGCAGCCTCACTTATTAGGGAACGAATTTACCCACTTGGAGTTCCCCAGGAGGGTGCAGCGAAAGGAGGTGGGCAAGCAGATGTTGTACAGGGACTTCAGCATGACAGGCTGGTGAGTTCAGTTAATGCTCCCTTTATTAAAACTACACGTAATGACACAGCATTCAGAAAAGCAAAATAATCCTCAGATCTTAGAATCTGCTGCTCATCCTTCAGTGTGCACCTTGATTATTTCTTTTACAATGTGAATGTTGTCATTTTCTAATAACATGATAATATATGATGCTATAATACTATGAGGTTTCTTGGCCAGGCGAAATGCTGCAAATGTCGTCTTCTTCAGCCATCCTGCTGTAGATCGGCTTGTACTGTCTGTAGTTTCAGGATCATTGTCGTGCTGTGTGAGGCTCTTTTGGTTGAGCCTTAGCTGCCGAATGGATGGCCTGACATTCCCCTGCAGACTTGGCTGAAAGAAGTCTGAGCTCACCGTTTCTGCCACTGTTGACAGGCCATCCAGATCCTAAGGAAAAGCAAAGCTCCTCCATATCATGATACTGCCACCTCCATGCTTGACATTTAAAATGCAGTCCATCCATCCAAAGGGAGGTTCATTTGGTTTTCGCCAAATTTCTGGATAGTATTCAGAGGTAAAGGAGAAGTCTCACTGAAGAGCACCTGGATGATCCACAATACGACTGAAAGAAATGTTCCCTGGAAAGATGAGTCGAAAGCTCAACTTTTCGGCCACAAAGATAAATGTTTTATGTGGAGAGAACCAAATCTGGCCTTCCATAGTCTCCTAAACTCCTTAGATAACCCCAATAAAATATTAAAGCAGAGTCTGAAACAAGCTGTTCATGCTTAAGGAGGCCCTTAAATGTCACGAGGAGGAATGACATTTTGAAGCACTTCTGGAAGGAGGAATGGACCAAAACTTGTGAAAGCCAAAATGAGAGACTCATAAATAGTTACAGGAAAACCTAATTGAGATCATTACTGCTGACAGAGGCACCAAAAGTTACTAAATCTAAAGTGTTGGGCTACTTATTCACACGAGGATATGTACCGATAGATCATTTTTCTTAGATAAGTCATCCAAATATATTTGATATATATTTTTCTCGGCACTGTACAATAAATGCTCACAAGTTTTGTCAGAGACGCTGAAAGCATGTTCTAATTCAGATGAAATGGGCAGGAATGTTTATTGACTGTGGCTTTTAGAGCTCACAAATCCATATGCGTCCATTTGATCTTTTTCCCTGCCTCCTGCCTGTGTAGACGGGATTGCTTGAAACTGCAAGGGAGTGGACAGGCTCCGTGCCCAGAGTGGTTGTATGTTTTCTTTTAAGGAGCTGGCTTGACTGATGGGCCATAGATCAATAGAAATTAATTCATTGGATCTGAGACAGGGGCTTATTAGAGAAGCCTCGAACAGAATCCCCCCGAGAGCACATCTAATAAACCAGCCCCATCTGATGCTCTTCATTACCATTTACATAGATCCCCAGGCATTGCAGAGAAAATGTGTCCATGCCCCTTTGTGTGGAGAAATTCTGCGTCAACAGGAAAGTCCGCGGAATGAGACGGGAAAGAAATACAGGCCAGGAGCTACAAGTTTAAGATTAAAGCACAGAAGTGTTTCGTAAGAAGGTTCCACATCTGTTGTTCCCAGCCACTGTCGGCAAAAAAAGCGAGCAAGTCCTTCTTCTGAGTGTCTTTCATAACCGCAAAGGTTTTGTTACATCAAAAAATGCCACATTCTGAAAAAAACTCTTCCTGACTTCTGCTGGAAGTTAATTTCTGCGTACATTTACTTACACGTCAACTGTGCATCAAGCTGTAGTTTAGATTTTTGTAGGTGCCAATGATTATCGAAAGTAAAGACGTATTTGTAATAATTCTGCTATTTTGTAGTTTTATTAGTTATAACGGAACAAAATGCAGGTACTGTAGTTTTCAAGTTACACGGCAGAGAAGATGGAGTAACTCGAAAAACAAATCAGTAAATCAAAAACTAGTTTTCCATAAAAAGACAAATAAGAACTGTAGGAGGGATGTGTTCTAAGTCCACTCCCAAATGAAAATGAGTACACATTTATTCAAGGAAGAAGGCTCCACAGCCTGTTTTCTTTTCCTTTCAGAATGGAAAAAAACCTTTACCTGTTCCTTTGCAGCCTACGCAAGCTAACACTGTTCTCTACTTGAACGTCATTTTATTTATTTAGCAGAGGTGAGAAAATGGAAGATGGCAAAGGCTGTCTGTGTGTCACCCACGTGATTTAATTAAGATGACTATATTCTCGCAAGCATTAGGCCAAATTGCATGTTGGTGTCCATGCCAAAGCACATTAGAGTGATACAAATACGTTCTCCTAAATTAGGTATTCTTGAATTGCCAGAAACTAAAAATGCTCATCTAATTATAGCCAAAAAGGTCATTATCACCTAAACATTACATATATTACACTTTCTACAGTACATACCGTATAAATTCTTGTTAACCTGGTATTTGTGACTAAAACACATCATAACACATAAAGGTTACAGAAATAGCTTTGCACAGAATAAGGTCAAAATGGCATACTCTATCCATGCAGACACAGAAAGTAGGCACTGGGCATCAGTGATGTTAACCCATAGCATGGGATTCATTTTTAAATAGTCAATTAAAATGGGCAGCCTTGAGATCTTGACAGATTGCCTTTCACTCCAGAATATCTGGCAACATTTTGTTTTCTATTAGATAGTAAGATTCTATTTCTATTTCTATTTCTATTAGATTGCCAGGACACTACTCCTCTGTGTGCACATACTCCAGAAGGAACACGTGATTTTATCCAAGCCTATTTAAAGATGCAGGGGCAGGCAGAGAATCCTACCGCAGAGTAGGAGTCAGGCTGCAGAGCCAGCGCATTGAAATGATTGATTGTTCGCCCTGTGCTTGTTCTGAATGTTCGATAGACTTCCAGTGTTTTGATGGAGTGGCGGGGACAGAGAACTGACCTGAATTGGACTGCACAGCTCATGATAGTGATTAATTGGTCCCACACTTGAAAGTACGAACAGCGCACATCCAGTAATGTCCAGCGATTCAGGAACAAAAGATTGTGGCCTTATCTGTGACAAAAAAAAAATTCTCATGAACCAATCATTTCTGCCTGGCATACTAAATAATGCAGAAAATGGAATATGAAATGTGAAAATGTGTTAAACATTTTCTAGCAGGACACAATAATGTCAAACCTAAAGACAAAAGCTTGGAAGATGTAGATTGCAGAGCATAACAAGAGCAATAATAATTCAATTTAAACCAAGAGTTGCCTGCCCAAATTCTACCCTGAAATACAGTCCAAATGTCTAGCTTGTAATTTTAATTCTACAGACCACAAAGGTGTAAGCACAAAATATGGTACAACCAAAAAACACATTACAATACATGAGCTGAACCTAAACTGTAGCCCCTTCACATCAAAGAGATGTCTATTCAGACTGCGTTGCTAGCACAGTGAATGCTGATGAACCTTATGTGGCACATTACCATACTGTGGATCCTATATTTTATAGCCACCAGACTTTAAGGAAGACATTTCCTTGGGAAATAGGTCACCATTCTTGAAATCCCACCTCTTTGTGGCACATCACATATCAGATGAGTTGTAATCTAAATCCATGTGTGATTAGTAAAAGGAAGTTTTCTGTTCTGGTGTGCTCACATGACTCTCAAACATTTCTGTATTACTGACAGACTTAGCTAATTTCTTTATGTGGGACACCTAATGTTTAATGAAGATGCAAGTAACTTTTGTAATATGGTTGTTAAATGTAAAAGGCTGTTACTGTAAAAGAAAAGAATAATGCCCATGACCTCTCGTAATATAACTTTTAGTTGGAACCGTTGCATTAGGTGTTGAGGGGCAGAATCAATGAAGCAGCCATATTTTTTTGAAAGGCTGGAAAATCCCAGCTGCCACTGCACAGGTGCAGTTTGTCCTTCAGGCGCATGTGCAGTACAAGCAGGGAGAGGTCCATGTTGGTCTCGTCCTTGTGGGCATGTCCATCCAGAACACTGGACATTGTATATGCATGAACATTGAACATGTCCATCCAGAACACTGGACATTGTATATGCATGAACATTGGACGTGTCCACCCAGAACACTGGACATTGTATATGCATGAACATTCGGCCATTGTCCATCCAGAAGTGTGCCTCATGAGACAAAATCTGTTTTCTACCTCTGTTAGCTGCAACAGTCTTGTCCGCTAAGTTGAGCCTGTGAGGTTAAAAGCCTACTAACATGGGAGAGTAGCACTGTCATAGATACCAGCTTCTGATATATCCCAGTTGTCTCTTGATACGTACTACAGGCTTGAATAAAACAGTCCCGTTCGTGTGCACAAATGATACCAGTCATGCCCCTGGGCTTGGACAACAATTCTGGGAGGGCCTGCGACACAGGCTATTTATGATTGATGATCAGTGGATAAACTGGAATTCACTCCAAAAACTACTAATACTGGCTGCAGGCTCACTTGATCTTCTTTCCTCCCCACGTCTTTGGTGGTCATTAAAGCCAGAAAGGTGCATGTTGAGTTTTCCATCAGAATATGACCAGAGTTTGTGATGCACAATGTGGTCCTCTGATTCTAGTACATTTGGTTGTAAAAAGCTCATGCATTTTCTACCAGCTAAATTTTGGCTATGCAAATAGCACATTGATGATCATTTTGCATGATCAAGTAGTATTGTCTCCCTGTCAGCTCCAGATGACTGATATAAACTTCTCTGTACTATGATAGTAGGGCTCAGGAGGAAATTAAAGAGTTGTTTATTATGTTGCAGCTACAAAATTGTGGAGTTCTCTGTCCAGTCATATTGAAGGTTCACTCACAGTGGCTACCTTTCAATCAAGGCTAAAAATCTATTGTATGTATTTATACTCAAGATATCTGACTTGAAATTGATGTGATAGAGGTTTAAATCAGTATTTATCTATCTGTTTTGGGCATTTTGAGGATTTTACATTTCTTCTTCTGTTAATTTGTGTGTCTGTAATTTTTATGCCTTACTCTCTATTTTGATAAAGCTTGAATCTTGAATCTGGCACCAATTACATTCTACAGTATGAAGAATAAGATTTAAATTATACAGAAATGAGTGAAGGCAAAAAGTTTTCCGTAATTCTTTGAGTCACTCTTAACAGAATATTGTAACATGGACTCATATTTCTAGTTGGCTAAAACAATGTGTTTTTGTTTTCAACATTTTGTATATAGCTGAGAGCTTTCAGGCTACTGCAAACCCGTTAATTTACTGCTGCTGATTCTACACTGAAAGTCATCAGGCAGGATTTCTCCTTAACAGACAGATCCTATAATATTCTGATTTTCTAAACAATGAACATCAGGTCCAGCTTTCTCAATCTAATTCAAAAAGCATAGGATATTAAAAAAACCTGTTCTCTCAATAAGCTCTTTGTTTTAGTGTTGCAGAGCGCGTTCAAGTAGTTTATGATGTCAGTACATTAGTTATCTCCACCTCCCTCTAGATTCAGCTTATGTGGACACACTAGTGTTAAAGGAGAAAAAGAGTACCCGATAAAGACCACAGTTAAGAGCACTGTAGAGGAGTTTGCCTCTTTTGAGCCCAACAAATCTCTGAACAGTGCTGTGTGTGCCTGCCGTTATTTCTCTGTCTGATTCAGTGTACCACTCGTGTTCTCCAGAAAGAAAAAGATGGAAAACTTTTTCTTGCAGTCCAGTGTTCGTCTCGTCTTAACGATTTTAAGCTACAGTACCTTACTTGGCCTCACTGTCTGTAACTTGATATAACGTGATAGTGGGCAGTTGAATTCAATAGCTTCTCAGCGGTCCAACTCTGCCCTCCTGAAGAGAAACAAGTAAAAAAACATATTTGGGAATATTGCAAATTCAAAATCTTAAAAAGAGATCAAAGGTAATAGACTATTTATTTATGAGTAGTCCTTGAAGGTGTAAAGCAGAAAAACCTGGTAAAGCAGGAATTTTAAAGCTGAAGTATTAGTGATATACATCGCAATTACAACAGTATAACAATTATATTTTATAACTTGTAATCTATTTTGATTTTTTTTTTGCAGTGCTGTAAAATCAGTTTAAGGAGCTACCTGAAATGTACATGAAGTGACAATGCACAGAAGTAGCTTTGTTGTTATTTTAGAAACTCCCACTGTGCATGTACTATGGTCTGATTGTGTGATACAGCAGATACGCAGCACTGATCTTGACTTAGAGATATATTTAGAAATATTCTGATTTCAAAGTTTTCTCCTTTAATTATTTTAATTATGAGCAATATGTAACCCAAGGAAGGAGTTAGAGCACTTCTTCAGCTGCTGTGGATATATAAGGAAGAGAAAGTACAGTACAGAATGAACAGTACAGACTAAATGACATTCCTGTCCTCTGTCCCCACATGGTTTGCAGTTGCTAAACTATTTACTGCTGTACAAATAAATCTGGGAGACACTCTGTGGCAGTTTTGTATTTTGCAAAGGGCACTATAGCAAATATAACTGGCACAGTCTGCCCCTGCTGTCATCACAGTATTATCATTTGTAAAACAAACTGGGACATTCTACATCTGTATTTATATAATAATACTGTAGGAAGTATTGTAGCTAAACAGGGTTGTGTAGACTTGGGACTTGTTTTGTTTCTGTTATGGGATAGTTATTTTTCTATCTGCGTAATACAATCTCATTATCCTAAATTACAGCACCATACAGACGTTGAGAGAAATCTGTGTGTAGGTATTCTCCGAGATAAAGTATACAAGCTTGCTATCTGCCTTTTAGATTTCATTTGCAAATCATATTTCACTGAATGTGAAACCATTTTAAAAAATCACCAAGAAACATTCAGCATTTCTTTGCTGAGCTGTGGTATCCTGTACAGTATCTTGACTGTAAGAAAATGCTGATCCTGTGCTTTATGACTTAAATGAAGGTGAATGCTTTTTACCCAGTAAGGTACTGGAAATCGTTCCAAATCAACTTCTATACAGCAATACAATTTTAATTGTAAAACTGACCTGAATACCTTGGTTAAATAAACATTATTAAATCACCATACTCTTAATTACATTGTCATTTAGGATTAAAGTATACATGTCACACAGCAAACTATATCCAAGTATGTGGCTGTTCTTTAGTTTTATCTGAATTTTTTTTTAAAGTAAGAAGTCTACAAATATAATACATTTAAGATGCTGTAAAAAGTAACTGCCTGTGAGATTGTGATGTCAATCCTGTACATATAGAGACAATAAAAGTCCTAAATTGTCCCCCAGAAAAGTATATTCCTTCTAAGACCTTCCATCTGTTGTTTCTTTTTCATCTTCCGGAGCTTGGTTCTGAATGATTTATTCATCTCGGGAAGTAGGAACATACGAGTCTTGCTAGCGAGTGAAGTACGAGGTATTTCCTCCCCTGCAGCTAACAGCAGGTCAATGGTGTCAGGCTGGCTTATGCTAGTTAAAATGCATCAGTTAAGGCGAATCACATTTGCATATGTAAATCATTTGAAATCGAGCTCCAGGGTTTAAAAACTTGTGCAGGAGAGACGGGGTACAGAAATGACAGAGGAAGCTGAGGTGTAAGTAAAGAGATCTGAAACATAATCAAAACAGGTGAGTTGACTCTATTGTCTGTATTGGCCATCCCTCCTACCTCCTATATTCTTCTGTATTAATGCTTCTTATATTCATAGCAGTTTGATTCTTTTGTTCGTCTGGTGAATCTCTCACCTCCCAGCTCAGTGACACACACTTACTCAGACGGAGGTGAAGTCTCCTATGCCAAAAGGCCAGCCCCCTGATGCAGGATAATGCAATGACAGCCATTTGCCTTTGGGATATTCTTGGAAAATATGTCACCATTGTAACAGGCTCAGCTAAACTTTGTCTCTCACATCTCTCAGAAATGAAGCTGATGTATTTCAGAATGAAGCAAAGTAAAAAGCTAGGTTATAGTGCCTTCAGAGTTGATACTTAAGAAGCCATATGCCTTTTTTGTGGTTGTCAGAAATTAGTGTTTGTTGCTAATCATGTTTATTTTAAGGTTAAGCATTTAAGGTTAAAGAACACAGAAAACCATCATATACCCCTTTTTAAATAAGTTTACTAAATGGTGTGTTTTTGCACAATTCTGCACAATGCACAAAAACGTGTTGTTTTTGCAGTTAAACTTAGGATTTAAAAGGAGCTGGGAGATTTTTAAAACAAAGGAGGAAAAATGCAACTCTCCTCCAACGTACTGTAATTAATGGTCAGACTGTAGAAATTGTCACAACTACAAGTACTTTTTTTCTCAATAGACTAAGCTATCTCAAGGCTGATAGGACCATCCTAACACTTTTCTACACGTCTTGTATTGAAAGTGCCTTAACATACTGTCTCACTTGCTGGTTTGGTAACAGTACCATTGATTGTAACAGGCTGGAAAAACTAGTCAAAATAAGTAGCAAATTAATTGTGGCAAATCAAATCTACAAACAGAGGGTGGCAAAGAAAGCAAAGTGTTTTATAGAATGTGTCTCTCATCCCGACCATAGAAAGTTCACACCTTTCCAGTCCAGGTGTAATACTAATAGACACAGAAAATATTTCACCTCCCCCTGCAATATCTCTTTGAACAATGTTTCGGAACTATCTTCTCCCTTATCTTGCTGTAACACTATTGCACTGACCTCTTGCTTGGTAAAATTGTGTCTGTCATTGTGTGGTTATGTTGGGAGAGTGCAGTAAAACTTAATTTCCCCAATGGGACAGTAAAGCTTGAATTGAATTGTTAGACACATAAAAGTGCCTCATTCTTCAAGGGTAACTGCTTGAAGTTGCACACAGATTTAACATGTTTTCTCTAAATGCTGTTTTTTTGTTCTCTGCTGTGTTTGCAACATTTTTGTTTAAATTAAAAGAGAGGGTAAAATGTACAATACGTTGATTCAGATATAGAAACGTTGCACATACAGTAGTGAAATAATCTCAGAAAATGTGTGGTATTTTCTGTTTTGTCTTCTGCATTTGTGATGCAGGTGGAAGGTGTGCCTTGTCACTCAAGAGTCACAGTAAAATCTCCAGTCACCCTCTGATAACAAGCTAAGAACACTGAGTACCTCGTTGAAATTAACTGTGTATCTTAATAATGACAGCTGTCTTTTGGACCCTATTTGCTTGTGGCACATGGGACAAATCACTGGTTTAAATGAGGACAATGAACTTGTGAAGAGCTCTTTGTGGTAAATGTAGCTAAAAGTGCTATTAACAGGAAACAAAATGAATACAGCGAATTTCACTTTCACAAGAGCAGAGCCGGAATTCAAAATGACCCATCTCTCCCTCCTAACTGGCACTCCCAGGGTGCTTTCTAATTGTGTTTTGTTTCCACACAATATGTCTAAAGAAAAACGAACCGAAGGTAGTTAAATGCAATTTTCCAATTAGCATCGCAACAGACTACCATCGTGTGACAAATCTAGCTAATGAGGGAGCCTCTCCCTGCCCTCTACCTATGTTCCAACTTCTGTACTCAGCATTCACACCTCTGCGTGGTCTCGTTTATGTACTGTATTGTGACGAATGCTGCAGGTTCAGGGTCGCCACTGTGGGGAATTACGGGCTGTAGATGACGATACAAGGTCACCGACAGTTTTATTACAGTAAGGAGTGCTAATCACAGAGGCAGAGAGAGAAAGTGCAGGCATCCGCTGCATGCAGAGGAGGAATTCATGTTGTTTATTTTAGCTGATTGCTATAAGTTGTGATTACTGTTTTTTCGTTTAGTTGATTAATGTCAATTTAAATTAACGTAATGCCAATGCATTAGTACTTCAATTATCTTATAAGGGAAGGTTACTTATATTTTTTAACCATACATACTATATACTATAGTACATCATGCGATGGTATAGGTGTGGGTCTTGGTTATATGCGGATTTGGCTACTTGTGACAGTTTTCTGCACCGAACACTACTGTATTGTATTTTAAAGGTCATTTTTGATTTTTTTAAATAGTTGGCTAGGTTTGGGTGACTTGCGAGGCCCTTATGATCTTACAGAGCTACTGCATCGCTTCTCTGGTGCAGTGGGTCTCCTATTTAAAAAGATGAATCTGAAAAGTTTGCGCGTACAAACTTCTCTCCTCTTCCCGTTCTCAAGGTCCTAAGGGTAAAAGCCAAGCTTCTGAGCAGCTGGGGGACGAGGCAATAAAAAGAAAACCCATCGATGAGGCAAAACTAAAAAACAAGCTGAGCCGTTCTGTCGTCACGCGAATGTGCGTCAGGTTTTAGTGCTTCGAACTGAAACAAATCTTTTGCAAGTCTTGTTCCATTCTCCTCCCCCAGGCTGATACTTTAACACGGTTTTTATCTGAAAGATGAATACAGCACAACAGCCCATGATTGCAAACACTTCGATGATTAGAAATGAGCACTCTTTGGGAATTGCAGTGATTGTCGTACCTTGAGAAGGGTTCTTTGATTCTGTTTACATAAGCACTGTGATTTGCTCCTTATCTTGGGTAACTGTATGGCGAAGGAACAAAAATAAAGTCTTAATTGTCCTTTTCCACATACAGGGCATATAAAACCATAGAGGAAGATGACCTGAAGTTTCCATTAATATACGGAGAAGGGAAAAAGGTAAGGCCAGCATTTGTCGACTGAGTGGTGCTTGTTTGACCTTCCATTGCTCACAGAAATTCAAGCACTAGCGCTTGTGTGTGCTCTCAGTTCTGTCAGCCCCAAGGAGACCTGTGTCATCCAGCAATTTTCTGACCACTTTATCCAATACAGAGTCGTGAGGGAGCCAGAGTCTATCCTGGCAAGCAATGGGTACAAGGGATGCCAGTCCATCATAGAGCACACACAGACACAGACGCTCTCACACCAGAGCCAATTTTCCTTAACCTACCAGCATGTCTTTGGACTGTTGGAGGAAACCAGATCAACAGGAGGAAACCCACACAAACATGTGGAGAGCATACAAATTCCATGCAGACAGCACCCCAGCAATTGAACCCAGGTCCCCAGTTCTGCAAGGCAGCACTTCTGACCACCATGGCACTGTATCGCCCTTAGATCTGTGGCAGTCTCTTGAAATCTTTCCTTTTGCAGTGCAACATCAAAGGAGGTAGTCTCGGGAACTCTCCTGCAGGTGAATCATGAAGTCTGCCTCAATTGACGTGGGGCGTTTCAAATAACAGTGTCGCTCGTTCAGAACGCCTGGGGCTGTGATTGCAGGGCCGTTTGGAATCATTCAGATATCACACGTGGTTCAGCTTGAACACACAAGGTTAAGCCTTCTTGATGCAGTTGGAAAAAGTATGTCGGTTGTTGGAGGAAAAAATTGAATTTGTGGTGTTGTGAAAAATGCCTTTCCTAACACTGAGAGCTATTTAAGGAAAGTACCCTTCTGCCCCCCTAAAGATTTCCATTGGATTGTAATCTTTGGCATCACTTTGCAGGGAGAGATACAGTCTAGTTGAATTCCAGCACACATCAAAAGCCTGGTAAAGGGTCTGCTGTGCTAATCAGAGAACCATAAATCCCAAGACGCTGCCTCTTCTGTGCCTGAGGAGTGAGAGTACTTTGAACACTCAGTCAAGGATCTGCCAAGAATACTGATTACAACTACCCCCCCCCCCTTTCCTGAGATCTGCCCTGTTCAAATAAGCAATTTTGGCACAGATGACATGTGCATCACAGACACAAGCACACAGAGAGATTTAACACAAGCGCAGCAGTATCTGCAAGGTTACCCTTGAACATCACGCATGGCCCGACACATTCAGTATGCCCATGCAGATTAATCATAATGTTCGAACAGCTCTGGAAGAATTCTGTGAACACTGGTTTAGTCCACATATTAATATGGCAGCAGAGGAGAACAAAAAACGAGTACAAATGTGGAAAGGATAATCTGGGATGAGGATTTATAACTATGCTGTATTGGAGCATAAACAATTACACTAAAGTAGACTGCAATCTTGGAAAAATGTATTGTATTATTTCTCACTTGTTTTTTCTGGATTTTGCCAAAATTTGGATCGTATTCTTAATATTTTGTCTCCGTTAGTCTCATAAGCATGTTTTAAAGGACGTTGTATACATCGGCAGGCGATTGGAGTGAATTGGTCTCTGGACATTTGCACCTATATTAGCGAGAATAAGAATTTAACAGAAGGAAACAAAGAACTGGTGCAGTCTAGACCCCCCCCCAAAAGAAACCTCTATATCATCTTCAGCTGCAGACATACCAAGTGCAACTGATGAGCAGCGAGCAGTCAGAATTGTTGAGATTTCCTGTCTTCGCAGGCTCGTGTCATGGCCACCATCGGAGTCACGAGAGGCCTCGGAGACCATGACCTCAAGGTGCACGACTCCAATATCTACATCAAGCCATTCCTCTCCTGCTGTCCCGAGGTACGGCTGCCCAGTCCCCTGTTCCCGAGGGTGCGAGGATACACCTCTTTATTCAAAGAGTGGTGGGAGCGTGGAACAAACTATCCGGCCATGTTGCCGAACCCAAAAACCCAAACGGGCTAGATGGACTTCCTCACTTTTGTTATCTTTCTTGTGCTCTTATATTCACAGGGCAATAATGTATTGACCAGGGTGATGGGAAACTTGTTTCAAAATGACACCTCTCCTTCCTGTCAGTCCCAGGGTGCTTTCCAGTTGTGTTTTTTTTTTTTTACACAATATGTTGTCTTAAATACCCCACATAATTAAAGGGAAACTGCAGTCCGAAGTCTCTGATCCGGTTATTAAATTGCAGTAGCAAAATAAATCCATTGCCGGCATAGACAAATGTTGTATAAATTGTGAATTAAGCACAAAATTGTGAACTTCGTGAAATTACTGTAAGTCACCATGTTGTTGCAAACCCCTGGACTCACCAGGGTTGAGAACAAGAGTTTGTGAGAATCGGCCCTTCCTGCTCACTAGTCACCGTACTGACTAATGTAATGGGATGTACGAGCGAATAAGTGCAGGTCGTGCAGCAGACTTTTGCTGCAGAAATGTTCCAGTGTGATCTGCATGCAGAGTTATTCACAAGTAGCATTTGTTGGCAAAACCGTCTCGAAGTCAAGAGCAATATTTCTATTGAATTAAAAGAGTGTAAACAAATACACTTGTTTACATTGTAATAGGGCCACTTCACCTCACTGGACGTTTTGCTGGCTCGCTCTCAATCACAGAATATGGCGCTGTGCATACCTGGAAATTGAATCTATTTTGAGATGTAAATGGGAGGTTTTACACACTACTGTGTACATTTTGCTTTAATCAGTGTTGATTATTTCTATCCTCGAAATATAAACATAGTGTTGCAGTTCCCCAGCTAATTTCCTACATAAATAAGTATCCTACTCTAAGTATCTTTGGTTGATGCTTTAAAGGACTTAAAAAGGATTTGTTTCAGAATAACTGGACCAGCTACTCAGGGCTGTGTAGCCTGTGATGTCTTAAAGGTGGGTGGATTGGACAAATCCTTACTCATTCTTAATCCTTATCCTCATTCTTCCATGTGTTGCAATTGCAGGACGAAGCCGTGAGCGTAGATGTGAAAAACACAAAACTGGGGATTGCAGATCGGGTGGGGACAGTCGTGCATAAGCATTCCATTTTTTTTGCATTACTAGTGACGCATACACACAGTTTTCAAGTGAATATTTTTCAGCTAAACCTGAAAACTACAACAGAATGCTTTGTGAGGAAAGAGAAGATCAATTTCAGCAAAAGCTGGCAAGACAAAAGGCTGCAAAGTTAAAAACTTTAGTTTTTTACTTTAATAAGGCTCTGTTACATAAACAAATAAACTTAGGTATAGGCGTTGTTGCTATTTCCTTGCCCCTGTTCAGGTGACAAAGGTTTCTTTGAACGCAGGTAAATAGCAGTTGAACAAAACTGTAGTTAACTTCTGCATTCGAATCCTCCATTGGCGCTGTATAAGTGTGTCTGCGCACAGATAATGTGGCCAGCTCCTGTTTACAGGACACTTGTATTTTTAAACTCAATGCGTGAAGCTGTTCTTACACTTGCTCGTGCGAGTATTGATATGCAATTGGTTTATGAAGTTCTCCGATTATGACGTTGCTGGTTTTTTTTTTTACCTTTTATTTTAGTACTGTAAAGCACAGTTAATCCCATATTGGCAAAAGCTGGAAAAAAAAAACGCCTGCACCTACAGCATCAGAACCCATTTCACAGCACTGTGTGCTTGAATTCAACCCCGATAACGTGGGTTGAAGAGCACAGCGGGGAAAAGAGACAGAGGCTCTTGGCTAATCAAGTCACACCAGTCTCTCAGACAGGAGCAGGCAGGAGCTGCCTCTGTCTTCTCACTGGCACTCAACCTCCACTTCATCAACTCTGCATTGCAGGGGTGTGTGGTGGTGGGGAGGGTGCAAAATGGCCTTTTTCCCCGCACGTGTGTTTCTGTGAGAAGATCACTGACGTGGCCCAGGTTCTGTGACAAAATGTGCTTCAACAAAGGTAAAATATGAGTAGTGCCACCTTTGAAAAGGACTTTTTTTTAATAGTTCTTCTGAGATACCTTTGAAATTTTTTGTCTTTTTTAAAACAAATTGAGGAGATTTGAAGGAAGCAAAAATTTTTTTGTTTGAGTTTTCTCTGGATATTTCTTTCTAGTGTGCATACTTGAGTATGACATATAAAACTAAAATATTCAAACTTGAGGCCCAGGGGGTTTCTTTCATTTCAAGCCCTCGACCAGGCCTGTGCTGTCTATACTTTCCAAGATAATTAAAGATGTGTAAGAGCACATCCTTCCAGGTGGAAATAGCCCAATTCACAAACGTAAAATAAAAATAGTGCTTTTGAGGCATTGTTAGTAAATGTTCCTTTTTAAAGAACATCAGGGAGACTTGAAGGGAGCAAATCTAGTGAGTTTTTCTTCTTTCTTAGTTGAACCTGAAAAGCATCTTTTCCAGACACAGAACTGTGTGCACCCTCACCCCAACCCTCTGCCTGACTGACCCTCTGAGAATACTGTTGAAATGCTGTTTCTGCCGAACCATTTGTGTATCTTTTCCTTGTGAATAGTTGAACAAATTCATTTCATTTTGATCTCTTGGGAGATGACTGAAGCCACAGGCTTTTGAGACAGGGGATTAAAGCATGCCTGTGAAGACCTTATTAATGCTGTAGGAAAGAAGCATGCTTCTCCTCTGAGGAGAAGATACAAGGCTCTCTTTGCAAACGGAATTCTACTTCTCCAATACGTATTCCTTTTTCAGTATTATTGCTGTTTAAATCATGCCATTGGGCTTGAACTGCAAAAATAAACCCAGTACATTAAAAGAAACTTCACTTAAAAAACACACTAAAGATGTTTAATGTCATATTCAGATGACCACGTGACTAGCTAGATATTCACCAGGACACTTTGAGACAGGATAGGAAACTAAAATTGACTTTAAATTAAAAGACATCACTGTGTCAATTCAGCATTACTCATTTGCTGAGATGGAAATTGATGATAACTTGCCCATACCAAGTGAGTGTGTGATGCTGATCAGCTGTTCATTATTACTATCATCAATCTGACCATGTCACGGATTCGTTCGTAGGAGTATCCTCACAACATATTTTATGTTGACCAAACCTAGTCACTTTGTCATGTTTTGTAAGTGTAAAAACAGTTATTAAAGAAATGGTATGAATACTTTGAATTTTTACCTCTGTGCTGGTATTTAATCAGCCGAACTGAGTTTAGCAAAGGCGTGATGCTGAAGGTTAAACATCAGAGTAGTTTAATATATACACAGCGTCCCAGTAGATGGAGTCAAATGGTCATGAGTAAGTACAGTACTTGCTAGGATTATGGTTGCTCACTGAATCACAGCTTTTCAGGAGAAAACCTGAGCCCAGCCCATCGGAAACTAAACTAGTCGAGTGCTTCATTGTGTTTTGTAGCATTTTGTTTAATTTTACAAGCCCTTGTAAAATTAGCCCCAGATTGCACACGTGAAGACTAAATGATTTTTAGACTCCACGTATTGATCTATATAGGTCTATGGAAAATTAGATAATGAGCATGAAATATCCAACATCTGGTAATAGCTAATGAAAGAGCCCTGCAGCCAACGAATTTAAAATGATGGAAATTCTGGTGCAGTGTAATTCGCTTTTTTCCCCAATTAAGCCCCAAGGTATGACTGACTATGTTCTCAGAAAATGCGTTTTATTACCTCTGAGAATGGGTTTGCCAGAAATTTAATTGCTGGGCGTATCCACAGATGTCAAGTAACAGCTTGTCACTGGCGTGCATATCTTCAGTGTAGCTGTTCTACCAGGTAGGGCAAAGATCTGTTTCACTTCAGCATCACTGTGTGGTTGACAGAGAATGGGCTGGGACAGTTGGGACCAACACTGTCTAGTAATTAAAAAAAAAAAGTTCTAAAAGACAGAAAGAATCCTGTGACCGCATATCACTTCATATGCATATTGTGCAATACAACGTGCAGTGGGGTTAGAAGACTTCAGAAGATTTCACACCGATAAAAAGGCCCTACAGAAAATGATGTTCCCCCCATCTGATTCCGCTGTTCCTCCTCTTGTTCCAGGTGAAAGTTTACAACCTCACAGAGTACGAGCACGGAGCGGACGATGTCCTGGTGCTGGCTACAGACGGGTTGTGGGATGTGCTGTCCAATGAGGACGTGGCTGAGGCCGTCACCAACTTCCTGGCAAACTGCGATCCCGACGATCAGCACAGGCATGTCCTTTTAAATAGTTGTTGACCGTTAAATTCGTAAAGCACAGGAACGAAAGTGCAGCCATTCCAGGTTTTAATGCAGTTCCCTTGCTGCATCAAAAGTCGACACACCCTCATTGAAATGTCAGCTTTTGTCGATCTAAAGGCTGGAATCGAGACAAATCATGCCAGACCTTTTTTTCACCTTTAATAAGATCTTGTAACCCACCATATTTAGGTGAAAACAAACGGATCGTTTTTAGGAAAAATAACTGAAACGAAAAAAAAAACTTTCTGCTAAAAGCTGCTTGTATATCATCAAGAATGCTTTTACCAACTTCCGCTTGCCTGTGGTAGCACTGAATGTTGCCACGCAGATACAGAGGTTCAAATCTGACACTGACACAAAGTCATGTTGGTGCATTGATCATGGAGCTTCACATGAAGTAAAGGCTGACATTTCCGTGAATAGACCTTGGAGTTATGTTGAATAGGTTATTAATAGTGTGATTTATGTAGTACAATCAGGGTCTATAAATTGTATCCAGGTTAAAGAGCACTCAACCCTTCTGACTGTAATATGAGAGAAAATGATTCTTCCCAATGCATAATGGCAATCCTTTTCCATTATACAAATCTATCAATTTTCTAAACGTTTTTTTCCCATTCAGGGTTGTGGGGCAAGAGCCTATTCCAGGGCAGGGTACAGACTGGGCAGGACGCCAGTCCATCACAGGGCACACACAAACACTTGCACCAGGGCCAATTTTTCCAGAAGCCAGTTAACCTACCAGCATGTCTTTGGACTGTGGGAGGAATTTAGAGCACCTGGGGGAAATCCACATGAACACACAAGGAGGGAGAACATTCAAACTCCACACAGACAGCACCCCAGGAATTGAACCCAGGGGCCCCAGTGCTGCGAGGCAGCAGTACTAACCACTGCGTCACTATGCTGTGCCAGACAGGTATCATTGGATCGATTAGTTTTATTTTTTCCACACAGTTAATATCACCATAGATGACTCGAGTATTGATTCATGATGCTAAACATATTCCTCTTCTTTCATCAGTTCACACTCAGACCAGATCGGTTTACACTGGACCAGTTTCCAGTTTAGTGACGGGGACACATTATGAGACAATGAGACGTAAAACCGAGGTCCTGACTCTCTGGGGTCATGAAAAAATCCCAGGGCGTTTCTCGAAAAGAGTAGGGGTGTGACCCTGGTGTCCTGGCCAAATTTCCCAGTGGCCCTTACCAATCATGGTAAGGGCCTAATAATCCCCATCTCTGAACTGGCTTCATCACTCTGTTCTCCTCCCCACCAAGAGCAGGTGTGTGGTGAATGTTCTGGCACACTATGGCTGCAGAAAAGCACTATATAGTGTAAGGAATTGATGATGATGATGATTATTATTATTACAGGTACATGGTGAAAGCAGGTACTCACCAGTGGCCATTGCCAGTGTTTAATTGTGCCCCTGGCAGCCTGACAGTTCCACTGTTTTATACAAGGAATGTACAAAAGAAAGAATCACGAGTGACAAATCCTGAAGTTCTCCACAGAGCTTCGGCAAAATTACCTGGACAAGAAACACTCGACATAGCCCAGGAGAAACACCCAGCAGGAAGCCCGACTGGTGGGCCAGGAGCTGCAGTGGGTGAAACATGCCAGATTTTGGATTGTCAGCTGCGGAATGCAATAAGAATAAAGATAAGAACTGCTGTAGACTTGTTTGCAGTAAGGTCACAGCAAAAATGGAGAAACCTTGTAACGCCGTTGTGAGCTGAACTTCGCTGCTCGTTGCAGTTGCATTGTATTTTCAGACTAAACCAATTACACACCAAAGACAAGCTATTCAAGTTAATTAGACCCATTCCGTCTGCATTCAAGTTTTTAGCTGTTTTTATCCAAATACTTACTTATGTTACATTTTATCCATAATTTATTAAAATGTGTTACCACTTCTCTCCTCTATACATCTAGTTTCTAGCCACTTTACGTGGTTCAAGGTAGTGGGGGAGCCAGAGCCTATCCCAGCAAGCCATGGGCACAAGGCAGGGTACACCCTGGACAGGACGCCAGTCCACTGCAGGGAAGACACAGACATGCACACACTCACACCAGGGCCAATTTTCCCAGAAGCCAATTAATCTGGGAAGAACCCAGAGCCCCTGGAGCTAGTTAAAATCACATCTAAATTAATTGTGTTGTGTGTGATTCTCTGATATGTTAATATTAAGGATATTTATTATGTTAACAGTCAACTTGATATGTGTCACTAGTATTACGTAGTAAAGTCCTGGTGGTTCAAATGTTAAAGCTCTTAAGCTAGCTGTCTTTACAAAGGACTTGGCACTTTACACTGGGAGTTACCCAGAACACCCGCCTGGAAGATCAAAGTCCAGGTTTTTCAGTTTTCCCATTTTAGACCAAATTCTATAAAAAGCTGGGAAGATGGAGTCTTGCCTTGTCAACTTTTTGTGGAAGCTTTGCCATCTATAGCTCCAGGGTTTGAGTGCTGCAAGTGTGACTAGAGGCGTCTTTCACTAAAAAAACCCAAAAAAACTCAAAACAGAACTTGCCATGGACAGAAACAGGCAGCTCAGCCGTCTGGGATTCAAGCAGGCCTGGGAAAAAATGAATTCAGATTCTGAATTCAACCGTCGGGCGCTCAGGCCTGTTTGTCTGCCTGCTCTCCTTTCGCACGCTGTAATAAAGTGAAACCCTGTTCTCTGGCGGCCACAGGTACACGCTGGCAGCTCAGGACCTGGTGATGAGAGCTCGAGGAGTGCTGAAGGACAGGGGCTGGAGGATCTCCAATGACAGGCTGGGGTCGGGAGATGACATCTCAGTCTACATCATTCCTCTGATGCACGGGAACAGGCAGCAGTAGGAGCCAACAGGATTGGCTGTAGCCTCAGTCAGGTACACAGGTGTTTGGGGTGATGGGTGGGGGGGCAATTTCAGCCCATCCTCAGCCTCCCTATGAGCTTCATTCAATGCTGTAAAGTTCTAATAATGCAAAATCAAGTAAACCCCCTTTGGCAGGGTGCAGTAAGCGCAAAATTGTACAAGCTTCTCTCATGAGGGAGACCTCAGGATTCCTAAGTTTCCTTTCACGAACACTGGATTGCACCAGTCCGGCGTTTCATCCACTTGGAAGGGCGCGGTCCAGATTTTTCCGTTATTTTTTCCCAGTGACAAAAGAAGAGAGGAATTTGGGTAATTTGTTTTTGTTCCAAAGCTTTGAACCATTCCATCCAGTTTGACGTCCAGTCCAGCTTTGTGTTTCGGATTTGATTTGATTTTTTCTGTCTGGCCTCACAAGGGATGTGAAGGCTCTTAATGTACCAAATCCCCCAGGTTTTTAGTTGCAATTTTCTTTATGGCAGGAAATAGCTAAACCAATGTGAGGCAGGTGCAATGTTCTGTTACTGTGTTGTTTTTAGTTTTTTGCCTTCTGAGCAAATAACCTTCTTGTCTTCTGAGGTGTTTTTGTTTGTGTTTAAATCGGTTACCAAGAAAATGTTAGTCTTTCTTGAAATGATTGAACTTTCCTTTGTGAATTTCTGTACAATGTATAAATAGAAATCACTGATGTGTATTATTCAAGTCCCCTTTAAACATGTTAAAAAAGTATTTTCTTACGTATTATGGATAGTTAACTTCACATTTATTCATACTCTTGCCAAATTTTGACCAATCATTGATTTAGCAATGAAAATGCAGGCGGACAATTAATATTTGTTTTTTAACCAGGCCATTAAAATGTATCCATTTAAAATTATAAATTTTTGGATGTGTGGAGATCGGGGACAATGCTGTGACATGTCCCATGATGACAATATAGTAAATGCCAGAAATGTTTTTTTTTAACATTTTCATTTGAAATCAACTGATGTACACCTGGTTTTCTGTGCTAAATACATTTAGCTTTATCAAGGGTATGAATAAATTCAGAGGCAAGTGTATCTAACCTGTTGTGTTCTGTCACTGTGCTGTTCTGATTCTGAATGAGAATAGCCATGTGTTTCTTGTAAATATTCTCCAAAGCAAATGTAAGTAGAAGATTTCTGTATGAAGATGTGGGCCTGTGCGCCTGTGTATTCTGTTGGCTCAACAGGGAGAAGTTCCTTCTAAGGTAGGGAGCAATTGTGCGCCTTCGGAGAATGAACTTTCACGTGTGTTTTTCATTTTATTTATGCAAGAGTCTTACTACAGGTTTATTTATGGATTATTTTAATGTATTAATTATTTTTAAGAGCTTTTCAAGCTAAAGGTTCGTCATCTGCATTAGTAGTGTCAGGCTCGTCACCTGGAGATTGACAGTCCCCTGGGTTTGAAGCCAGTAACCCCTTAATCTTTTTTTTTTAATTGATCTCATGGTCAGATCAGCTGGATATATTCTGTATTTTGTCAGAGCTGATAAGCACTTTCTTCCAGGTACAGTTGCTGTGAACTTTTTTCAGGTTTGGGTAGACATGATTCCAGTGAATCTGATAATTAGGCCAATGAAGTCCATAAGGGCTTTGGGTTGCATTCAGTGATTGGAGCATCAACAGACTAATATGTAACATCAGCTAACAGACCAAGGACAGAGAAAATCACGATATCAATGGAGAAGTAGAGAATTGCGAACAAGAGCACTTTTTTACACAAGTTGGTGTTGGAATCTGAAATAAACTACCCTGCCATACAATGGCTTCTGCTTTCAGTCAAGAGTGAAACGAGATCCTTACAACAATTAGTTAATTTGCGCCAAAGGAACTAGATGAGACTTCTTCACATTTCTATTCTGTTATTTGCAGCCTGTTCTTTCAATATTTCACAGTATGCTTCAATCATTTAGAGATTGGTTTTTCTATATCTTTAGATGTTTCAAAATATGTGTAAATGATTTCAAGACGGCTTTAAAATATTCAATATTCAATATTTTGAAATATCGCAAGATTTCAACTACTTCAAAAGGCCAGATATTCCAATAGAAGCATTTCCAAATTTTCTTTTCATATTTGCGATCTTCTGACCGATTCCCTTTCACTCATTATTTAAAACCGGTATGAGATAAACATGTGTTCTTAAATTTGACCAAAATAATTTCTGGCTTGCAGGTACTTTTGCGCCTGAGCTCAAAATTGTCCGTTTTTATGATATGCGTTTGTTTATTTATTTAACACCCTCTTGATAATGGCTCGCCTCGGACTAGGCAAGTTGAGCAAGATTTTTCCGCCCATAGGACCTATCGCCAGTGACCAGGAAGTAATTTCTCAAAATGAATAGGAAGCCATTTTAAAAGATGACATCGGCACGAAGGACAGATAGCTTAAAATGAAAATGGAAAAACAAACAAGCGATTTAAGATGTCCCAAAACATATTTAGTGATTTTGCATAATAAAGAGGACCCAGTTTGAAAATATCTGCCAATGATATCTTTAAATTATCTTGAAATGCACATTATCGCTGTAATGACACGCTACTGCATTGGGACTTGTAACGAGATCCTGAAATGTAAGAATACCCAGGTACTGGATAAGAGGCAGCTGAGCAGTTAATCTGCAAGTACCCTGCAGGGAATCAACCAGAGTTGTGCGTTACTGGAGCCAGACTGAGCGGAGATGGAGGTGAGAGGCAGGCAGCTAGCTGACAGGCGAGCTGAAGCAATCAAGCATGCTTGTACAACTGGGGCTGTGGCTAGCTGAGACTCAGGTGTGTAGCTGAGCTGAGCTGCGCGTACGGACAGAAAACTCAGTTCAAGTCCGTGGTCGAACAGGCGAGGATCACAGCCGAGAAACGAAAGGAAAGACCGTAACACGGGAAAATCCGCGAGACGATGTCGAGACAGCAAGTAAGAGTCGGAATACAAAACAAAACACGTCTAGAGAGAAACAAGGAATCATGACTTGAGGGCATTCAGAGGCAGAACTTTGGAACAGGACACAAAGGGCTCAGAGTTGAAACTCAACGACAGAGCCCCAGGCTCTGTCAGGTCCGTCCTGACAGTATTTACCATCAAGAACACTGGGGACAGCCCTAGTCATAAACCGACTCCAGTTGCTCCAAGTCTCCAGGTGATGAGTATCCAAGGCAACCAGCGCAGGGAGACACAAGGCTAGCTTGGCCCACTGCTTGGGATGATCTCCAGGCGATCATTTGGCCGGCGAGGGGAGGAGCTGTCTTACTGAGAGAAATGTCCTGGCCAGTCGGCTTGTTCATAAAAAATACAGATATTATTCCCCTTCTTAAACTGTTACGTAATGTAAACATGAAATTAAATGATAAACTAAACACTGCTGCAAATACATTCTGATATACTATACGTCTTAATTTCTGGACTGACTTTAAAAAACCACTCGCAATATACAGTCTGTTTCTGAGCCACTGTAGTAACACTATTCAGTAACTGCTAGCATCAGCTAAGAGGAACAACAGCAAGGCTGTATTGTTGAACACATAATGGATCTTCAGATCTGTACCCTTGTCTTGATGTCACCCACATACTTGAAATACTTCAGAACTACTTTATACTGCATCTGGACTGCTTATCTGTTGAATTGTGTTTCATCACAAACACTTTTGCTTCTCTTTTATCCCCAAACAATAGTGAATAGTACGTCAATTTTTAGATAACAGTGAAACACTCTTTTCCCAGACTGTGATTACTCTTAAAACAGAAACTTTATAAGTGGTCAGACCCTTTATTTTTTATTATTATTATTATTATTTTCATTTTATGCACGTTTTAGTAAGACAAAGTGAGGCACTCATTTTCTCATCCTGCATTGTGAACGCAGGAGGAATTTATTTTAGTATCTGCTCCTGCTGTGCAAAGCCACTCTTTTGTGGCGTTTGAATGAAACAAGAAGGCAGATTTAGTTTGGATCTCCGATGACAATGGAATTAAACCCTAGTAAACAGAGAGACATGTTGTGTCAGGGAGAATATTTGGAGATAGTTTTCCCACAGTAGAACCACATGGAGGGGTCAAGTGTATAACGTTAAGGTCATATTCCTCTATGCCCTCCCTAAAGCAATTCTGTTTAATCACATCCGTTCAAACATATATTTTTGTATTCTTTGCAGAATTGAATTCTCCCTCAAGCTACATATCGTGCAACAGTACTATCAGGTGATGGGATTAGGGTCCACTACGTCAGCAGCAGCACAGACATAATGTCTATGCGTGATACAGAAGTCATGCTGAGGAACACAGAGTTAGTGTTGCTGCAGTGATGCTGCCCTTTATGTACAGTACCTCTTAGGAGTCGTGACGTTTTCATATTTCTAAATCATTCAAAGCTATATCAGAATGCACAGTTAAAACAAATCTAAATTAAAATCAATTGAGGAAACGGGTGTAAGTAAATGCACTTTTTTTATCGGTGTGGAAAAGATTAATACATTTGTTCATTGCTAATACACATCTTCACAAGATTCTAATTTCAAGTATATCCTGCTGTTTTACAACTGTTAAATTCCTTCTACCTCAGTTATTGTTCTTTGGAAATAGTCGGTACGTTACAAAATACACTGTACATTAGGAAAGTGCACAGAAGAATGTTTTTCAGAGTTGAGAAACTTATGACAGTAGGGGTGAATTAAGTGGAGACTTTAATTAGAATTTAATTCGTTTACGCAACTCGAGGAATGAGGTTCTCCAGTAATTTTTCCAAGCACATTGCTCATCGCACAGTGATATGACAAGATTTCTCTTTATAAAACCCTTCGAAAATAAATATTTGTCGGGAGAAGGCTAATTTTAAACTGTGTGGCATCTTGAAATCTTACACGAAGTAGTTACTGTTAATTAGAGAAGCAGAGGGAGCCCCTATCACATTCTGACTAGATGGAAAGAAACCCAGAAATACTCACCCCCTACATTCATGCTCTGTTTATTTCTACACTTAGCTGACTGAGCTCACGTCTAACTTAGATAAACTACATTTCCGAGCAACTTGTTGCATTCTACAGCTTGAATGTTTTTTTCCCCATAATACTGAGGTCTTAGCTTGAAAATAATGTCATTACCCAATGAGATTTTGATTTAGTTTGCCAGAGCAAGATCCTTAATAATTAACATTTATTACAATTTATGTAGCTTCTTTCACGTGATGCACTCCAAGTCAACTTCACCAAATATTAGAAATGCTGTAGGTGTGTAAATAAGATGGAGCTAAATGCTTGAAATCACTTTATGGAGATACTGCTTCATTTCATTGGTTTTCCTTTCTGATGTAACATGACAGGATTTGCAAAGAAATCTTTCCTTGCTGTGGGGAAACATAGTAGCCTTTGTTATTGATGTTGCTCAAGAATATTCTTTTACACTACGAGACCCTCTACACTGATAGTGTGCCATACAGGTGTGACTAAATCATCATACCCAGCTGCAATATTCAGATACCTCAAAACTGCTGAAAAATATGTCAGCTGTAGTCACATAGGGAATTTCATTCTAAAACAGGAGGTGCGCTACTGCATTTTCTTCATGAAAAGGCAGACAGTTGGGTGCAAGACGAAATAGCATTGTCAGAAAACTTAGTTAAACCAATGTTTAGATGTCAAAAGTGTACAGCACTATGTATATGTTCAGTCTTTTGGAAGGAAAATTAGAGATTATGAAGCTGCACTTTTTAAATGATTGTAACCAAACGAGTACAAATATGCTTCAATTATTGATTTGTAAAGGTTTCTCACTACTATGCCTAAATGCTCAGTGAAAATATGAAACACAAGACTCAGGCAAACAGACATGTGCAGGGAACTGACTCTAACTTGTTACAACCCCCACCCCTGATAACACTAGCTGACTATTAAGATGAGAGAAAAGTGCATCTTCTCCCATAGAAAGATGACAAAAAATTGCACAAAATAACTGCTTTGTTAAAAAAAAAAGATGCACTTTATATTTTAGTGTGAACTTTTTATAGTAAGTGAAGGACATCTTATTTCAACTCTTACGTTCTATGAATAATATGTTGAGAACAAAATAAAATACCTTACCAAATAAAATGTGCTTAGTTCCCTTTGAACACAAGACTGACAGAGGTACTACTTTTTTTTCCCATTTTGGATTGTGCAGTAGATTGTTTTTTTTGGCGTAGGCGGTGACGGAGTGCTTACACACCGTCAGGAACAGACAGGACTGTGTAAGTTTCAGCAGGGAGTCTCCACGATTAAAGTTCCTCTCTCACTGTAACTTCACAGGTGTAAAAGGTGGCCATTTTTGACTGCCCTCTCCTGGAGAATCAGACACTCTTTTGTCTCTATCATTGCCTGAAAATAGTGTACCACAGAGAATCTGGGAATGTACTTGCACAGACCCCCAGGCCAGTCACTTGGGAAAGATATCAGCATGGGACTGCATGTGTCATAATTTACCCTTAAATGTATACAAACAGTTATGAAGTTAAAACGACAGGTATTATGTATCTTTTTTATTTTGATGGCCATGGAGTCTTATTTTGCCACTTTGTGGAGTGTTATGTGTAAAAAAAAAGCACAAACCCTGCTAGAATAACACTGTATTCTACAAAATATTAGAGCATGGTAGGTTCCACAGGAGTATTCTGGATGTGTCAGACATAATGGCCTAGCACTTGATATGCCCTAAGATTCCTGAGGACTACAAAGTAGTAGCAAACCAGGCCTTTTGTTTGGTGCTATTGCTGTCCTATGATAAAGAAGGTTGATGTAAGTCATTTCACTAGAGGCAGAGCTGTTGGTGCACATGTCTCTGGTGGATCATGCAATCTAATAGAAGAGCAGACTGATGTGCCAATACAGACAACCTCAAGAGTTTACAGGCAGTTAATGGCATTGTATGGCTGGCAGTATATTTTAAGGTTCCGTTGCAACTCCCTCCCATAATATAAAATTTAAAAAGAAGGTTTAATAAGACATTTGTCCCAAGGTTAGTAGGCTAGAGGTTCCCAGCCATTTAGCAATGTTTAAAACCCAATGTTCACCGTTTTCAAAACAATGATCAAAACAGCTCAAGAAAAATGGTACATGCCTAGCCAATGTGAAGTATTGAAGTAGCTGACCCAACACATATACTGTACCAATCGAATCTGATCACTTCTTCTCCTCTACACATCCTTCAATCTAAAAGTCTGCTTTTTGGGCTAGCAAAGAGATCTGTCACACTTCACTGTTCGCTTCAACCAAACTAGCTAAGCTTTCAGTGGATAGCCATAGAGATGATTCTGCTTAAACAATATTGTGTAAAGTATTCTACTTTCTAAATTCAAAGCAAATGTCTTTTGGACAGCAGTGTGCAGTATATAAATCAACCCTTTGCTTTTGGGCTGTTCATTTGTCATTTTTGCATGGGACCATACTACAGTATATGAAAGTATGACTGGAGTGCACTGAAACCTGAAACAATTGTCCAGGTTTCATGTCCCATTCTACAGCCATTGCAGTTCCACTAAGGACTATGCAATCAGTGAGTTCTGTAGTCTTTATCTGCCCCTTTGCTTTATTTAATACTCACACTGATCTGAAACTTTGACATTCTAAGCAATGATACAAAGTAACATTAGATTTTCTATTATTATTTGAGCCCAGTAAAGGCAGTGGAATTATTGTCAGTGAGGACACAGGACAGGATGAAATAGTGATAACAGAGATCTGTCATGCAAGCGGTCTTTCATACCAAATCAGTCCAGGTTCTGCTTTTCTACATCAGAATCAAACAGAAGAGTTGCTACAGTACTATCATTTTCCACGACTGCAAGAATTCTGCACATTAAAAAAAAATGAAATTCATGGACTGTGGCAGACAATCAGATTGATTTTACCAATGCAGAAGTAGGGTGTGTGGCAGCTGGTCACAGAGTTACACAGAAATTAAATTTCACAATGGACTAGCACATTTTATATATATTTTATTCTTAATCATAGACTGGTGTGTTTCCCATGTATGTTAGTCTGGGATAATGACCATTGTTCTAGATAGTCCTTTGAAAAAGACCTTTTCTGCTTGATCAGATCTTATAAATAAGGGGTTATCATCAAAAGAAAGAAAAAGAACAAATAAATGGAATGTGATTTTCTGAACAAAAACAGAAGTATCCAGAAAGGTGATATCAATATTAATAGGTATAATACGAAGCACTTGAAAGTGAGCCAGCATTAATCTTTTCAGACAAAAAGAAATATACATAGAGATCTCAGAGTGGCTTTTAGAGAGGTCTTCTCTCATCTCTTTGGAGTCTATGGAGTTTGAAAAAAATATCTAATCAATGGCAATGAGGAGATTGGACCACATGATTGTGTAAACGTAATCATAGCTCCACGATTGTGAACGATAAGACTGAGGCAGTATACTGTTGGAAAAACTTGGATTATATATTATTTTACACTGTGACATCACTGAAAGTCATAACTCACTCGTCAGAATAAAACACTTCACACGTTTGAAAACCTGTTTTCAAACTTAAGATGTATTCATTTGTTTAGTTTTGTCCGTTTTCCAGAAAATGCATTTGTGTGTGTCTCAGTTAGCCTGAGGCTGTCAGGCATTCAGCATTGAAGTACTTCTGTGAAACAAAACTCTGTCCACCCCTGACCCCCACCTCCGATTATCCTTTTCACACTGTGTTAAAATAACCAATGTAGTATCCAGCTCTGAGAAGTAAAAGATATTTTGACATTAGCTGTATTATATGTAAGAATTCAAGAACTGTAAACAAAAAAAAAATGTAAAGTTGTTTGAATGTAAGAGACATTTTGGACCAATGTTAATTGTATCCTTTGTGAATGTGAAATGTACATTTTTGTAACCAGAGGAAACTATGAAGTCAAAGGTTATTTTTAGTGTTTTGAATATTTTAAGTGCAATAAGGATAAAAGGTAGAAAGAACTTGAAACAATGTGGACCTACAATGTTCTTTTTTTTTTCCTCAGAAACATAAAGACTTTCTTCCTTTGAATGTTTTCTGTGCATTTTGTTCTGTACTTCCTTGCACATTTATATACAGCTCTAGAAGAGGGGTGCAAAGAGAATGTTACACTGCACACAAATGCATGGAATAGTCTTTTGTGGAAAAGTATTGAAAGTGACTTCTTCACTTGGAAAAAAGAAATCTTCAAAATGTCCTGGATTTCACACTGCCTGTTGGTCTTGATGAAGCACTTTTTTTTAGCCACTTCTTAGTGCACCTGATCTGGGTAACCAAAGTGTTGTTTGTGGAAATATCTGGGAAATTTGCAGACTTGATATATTGTATAGTATGTCGAACAGGAAGAAAGCTGTCTTTTTCAGAAGTTATGAACTCTTTAGCAGTGTCCATTTTCAAACTGGGTCTTCCAATTGAGGGGCATGGGAGAGCCAAAGCCAATACTGGCGAGCAATGGACGTAAGGCAGGATACTTTCTGGACAGGACGCCAATCCATTGCAGGGCACATGTAGACACAGACACACACACCAAGGACGGTTTTCTCAAAACCCAATAAACGTACCGCCATGTCTTTGGACTGTGGGAAGAAACCCCTTGGAATACGGGGAGAACATACAAACTCCACACAGACAGCATACCAAGAATTGAACCCAGGGTCCTAGCACTGCCAGGCAGCATTGCTAACCACTGTGCCATCATGCTGCCCTCACAACCTTTACATGTTGTGTTTAAATTGAAACAAAAACACACAGAGCAGAAGGTAATCATTCATTGAGATGTGAGCCTGGCCAGGACCAGGATGGGAGACCTCCTGGGAAAGCTAAGGTTATTGCCAAAGAGGTGTTAGTGGGACCAGTATGGCAATGGGGACACCATAATGTAAAAAGGCGCCATCCTTCGGATGAGACGTAAAACCGAGGTCCTGACTCTCTGTGGTCATTAAAAATCCCATGGCGTTTCTCTAAAAGAGTAGGGATGTAACCCCAGTGTCCTGACCAAATTTCCAATTGGCCCTTACCAATAATGGGCTCCTAATAATCCCCATCTCTGAACTGGATTCATTACTCTGTTCTCCTCCCCACTGAGAGCCGGTGTGTGGGGAGAGGACTGGCGCACTATGGCTGCCGTCACATCATCCAGGTGGGGCTGCACATTGGTGGTGGTGGAGGGGAGTCCCCATTACCTGTAAAGCGCTTTGAGTGGAGTGTCCAGAAAAGCGCTAGGTAAGTGTAAGGATTATTTATTTTGTCTGTGCTCTTTTCTATGATGTTTTTCCACCAATGATATTGAACAGGCGACCGTGACTGCTGTCACTCTGCAAAGGAACTGTGAATTAGGTTTGCATATTGAAGTGGAAAATTAAAAGAAAGGTGCAAAAAAACATATTACACAGTAGTTTTATGTTAATTGGTAAACTTATCACTGTTCTCCAATTCTGATCATGGTAGAGCTCTGTCCATCAGTTTGTTTTTACATTTGTCAAATGTAATTTTGTCAAGTTTAAGTCACTCTAGACTAATAATGTTAATTGCAAAGTTCAGTAAAAAGCTGGAAATTAAAATCAGATGACCAAAACCATGGGTGGAGAGCCCTTCAGCATTAATAATAATGATGCAAGGGATCTGCATGTTTAACAGCAGGGTACGAAGATGGGATTCTAAAGCATGTAAAGTAGGTCACCTGCGTCTTCTGCTTTGTTTCAACCGAGTTTAACTTAAGCCTGAACTGAACTAATGTACTCTGTTAAATTGTTTTAGTTCCAGCTCATTAGAACACGCGATTTCAAGCTACTTCCAAAGTTTTTCGAGCAGCTCGTCATTTCTGTTTCAGAACTCAAAACAATTTAAGATTCGGGTTTTAATTAGGCTGAGGTTCCTTATTAAAAGCTTGACCCAAACGAGCACTAAATCCATTTTTCTAGTTCATGACTAATAGTCCCTGTTTTTACTCTGTCAATCCAGATAAATGCACTTTTCTTTGAATAAAAAGCCAGTATGCCAACAATAAAAGACAACAGAATCAGAAATGATCACTAATATGAAACAGTTTCCTGTTAACTACTGTACACGGGGAGGGAATCAAGACATTTCGATTCATTTAAACTGAAGCTTAATTTCACCTTAATGTAGTGAATCATTTTGTAAGGGTATACACCAAATATAACTGCATATTGGCCCAGAGTCTCAAGTCCTTCTTTATTACTATAATGGACATGTGCATTGGATTAGCACAGAAATATGCACGTACTCTGTATGTAACCAGCATTTTTTTTTTTCACAAAGAGTAGAGCGTTGCACAAGCGGATTTTAAAAAAAATAATATTGAAAATTAGTTTGCAAAGGCAAATACAACAAGTTTTATGCAGCTGTTTTCAAAGTCTTGGAATGCATCACCTCACAACATTGGCTACATTTCTGCTGGAAAAATAAGCACTTACCAAAATCACACTTGCCCGTCGACTCTCTCTTCCACGAATGCCTGCCGAGCCGGTGAGTGAGGCGTGATCTGGGCAGAATACCTTTCGATCAGGAACAGCGCCCGCATGTTAGTGAGAAGCCGGGAGTATAGCGATATGGCACAAAAGTTCCACCAAGCAACCTTGTTTGCAGGCAGAAGCTCAGGTGAAAATCTCAGGTTCTGTCTTTTCCGTGGCCATCGAGTTAATCATCTCAGTTTTAGTAGATTATATTCGTATCCATACTCCTGGACTGCAATGGGGTTCTGAATGAAATACGTCAGTAACATACAGTAATATAATCTGACATTTGCAGTACTGCACATACATTTAAGTAATTTACTTTCACCTCGGCTCTTGACCAAGATGGATTCTTCTTTCAGCTGCAAATTTATGGTATGTACTGCTCACGTATTAAGTAAGCAGATTATTAAGCAAGTCTCTGTACTTCACACTATATTAACACAACTAAATTTTAAGAATTGTTGTTTTTTGGGGTGGGGAGGCAGTTGTTTCTATCCCAACCTCAACACAGTCTTAAACTCGAAATCTGGGCCTTATACACAGAAACTACAGTATACATATTGCACCTTTAATGTGATATTGGAAGTGTATGGAAACAGACTACCAATGGGTTAGTAAAATACATCACAGCACTTTCAGTAACCACTTATCCAATTCGGGGTCACAGTGGACCAGAGCCTACCCTAGGAAGGAAGGGAGGATACATCCCGGATGGGACCCTAGTTTATGACAGGGCACACACACTCACACCAGGGCCAATTTTCCTAGGAGCTAATAAACCTACTAGGATGTCATTGGACTGTGGGAGGAAACCAGAGCACCTGGAAGAAACCCATGGGTAGAACATGCAAACTCCACACAGATAGCAGCCTGGGTCCAGGATCGAACCCAAGGCCCCAGCGCTGTGAGGCAGCAGTGCTAACCACTGTAGCACCATGCTTACCTACAGTAAACAAAGAGAAAATGAATTCCGTGGTTTCTTTGTCTCTTTCTGCAGAGGTGCCGTCTTCCTCATGATACTGTAACGCAACGGGGGCTCAGGCGGGCGCCCTTGCCGCATCTGGTCGGCCCCA